GTGCGTTTCTTTAAGTCTTCCTACCAACATGACCGAGTTGCGAAAACAAGGTCAAACAACTTCTATTCACATAGTCTCGTTTGGAAAAAGGTGTTCTCATCAAGGTCAACTTACACAATGGTATCATTCATCTTTAATCTGGTCGCCTGTAAAGGGGTCTCGAGTCCCGCCCGACCCAGCAAATACGCCATATTTTTGACATCTGAACGCACGGACGGAATTTTTCATGTGGATTGCTGAAAACCCATCTGGAGTGTGGGTCAATCAGCAAGCCGACCTTCCATTCTATTGGTCTGGAAGTGTTTGGCCTCCTGTGACAGAGTTTCTGCTCGCGTTTGACACACAGTTTACGGGTTCGAATCCCGGTGAGAGTAAGGCTGCAGTTTACCCGAAAGAAGAAGAAGACACTTGTGGTCTGTATGGCAAAATGACATCGAAGCGCTTAGGGTACGGCTGTTTTTTGACACCATTACGAGGTTCACTTCTGAACTACCATGACACACGCACAAACGCAACCTAACCGGCCGATTTGACAGTGTGGGGTGCATTCGGTGCTTAGACATCTATTTTGAAAAAGATTCAGAGTCTGGCTTCAATTCCCGACATGTGGGCTGGACATTGAATGGGCTAGTTTCGTCGCCTCACGCCGCCGATTCGCGCATCTTCATACTACCCTTGAGCCCACACACGACACATGAGCGGATCAGTAGACATCAGACGGGCTCATGTGGGGCAGAAGGAAGGCGACAAGTTCACAGTTCAGGCACAAATCGAGCCCGATGCGGTCGCCAGAATCTCATGACGGCCGACGCCGAATGTGGTGAGCATTCTGCACATTTGGAAAGTGTAGATGCTACGACAAGTAGACGCGGAGGCCGCTTCCAACGACGACTTGGAGGCCAAATGGAGATGAGCCTTTAGACGAGACACACACACAAGAATGGACAGTAAACGGGCTCATTTCGCTGATGGAATGACAGGCGAAGCGGAGATTATGGTATCATGGCTGGGCGTCTTGGAGATTACGATGCCAAAAGGACTGATGAGGAGCATTTGGGTAAGCAGGGCAAAAAAGTGAGCAGGAAAAAAGGGGACGGATAGTGAATAATTCTCCGAATAAGCGGCGAGGCAGACATACAAACAAACCCGGAAGCATCTCATTACACTGATTTACTGGTAGTCTAGACACCCTACTCACTTACGAATATAAGTAACGTTGTCGATTGCTTCATCGGTACTCCCACCAAAAGAATATGATACAGGAGAGGCCTGACCGTCCTTGAAACTCACTTATGCCCTGTGACTCAAGGTTACTCGTGGCAGTGTAGCCGAGTGGTTAGCGTGTCAAGCTGCCGTCCTGCATTGCCACGGTTCGAATCCCGCTGAGGGTGTTGC